TTCTTTTATCTCTGCTTGTCCCAAGAATGGAAAACGTAGAGGCTGCATAAAGTTTTTCATATCGAGACGTGTCTAGTGTCGTGCCTCTTGTAAGTTCCCGTATGGTGTGACTGTGATACAGTATGAGGTATAATTCTGTAATAAAATGGTTTCACAGTTTAGTTTATTCTGGCCACGTTTTTAAAAATTAAATTCCTCTGATTTCTGCTTTGCTTTTCACATCACATATTAAGTTAATAATATACTAGAAATCTGAATTTATGTCTTCTTATCTTGCTTTTTATACACCGCATTTGCCCGAAAATTAAACTTGGAGTATGATGTAATTTTTTCTAAAATTGGGCTGAAGTCTTAAAATCGACAATTATAATAAATGGAATTGTAGAATGAGAGGAAAGAATTTAATATTATATTACAAAGAATAATTACTCTGTTTAAATGCTAAACAAAGCATGTAAGTAATTATCATCTATGTAAACTACGTAGCTACCATTAATTGCAATTGCCACGCCTAGTTAAGTGGTTTCAAGGTCTACATCCTTTGATTATTGGTATACTTGAAAACAAGTAGGCAATAATGTATCATTAATTTTTCATAACTTTTATTTCTGTACCGTAGAAAAATATTGTATTTAATTATGCAGCTTGCATTTTATTGTAATCAGAAATAAATGAACAATGTAAGAGAGGAACCATGTTCTATCTTATATGCAAGGTAATAAGAACCCTGTTCTCATCAAATATTCAATTATATTATTACTTCTTAAAATTTTTCCTAAAATGAAAGAGCCATCGACATTCGAGGGCTGTCTCGTTTTCGAGTAAATACAGTTTTTAGTCTAGAGTAGCGTTAGCCCAGAAGCGCTATTAATCTCGAAACGGCATTTTGCGTTGAATCACTTTAAAAGTCTGAATCACTTTTCAGAATGTTGCAAACAAATATTATCGCCGCGTAATATATTTAAAGAAATTAAATAAGTAATAAAGAATCTGCATAAATGTATGTATGTTTCTCGTAATGCGAAAAAACGATGTTACCTAGAGACATCAAATTTTGAATAACGTAATCCTCCACCCGGACATTAGCACCTGGAAGCCCGAAATTTTAAATTCGGATTTGTTTTGTTACCTAGTCCATATTTTGTAAAACGTAACGAATTTTCGATTAACGAACTCGACGATTTCAAAGGGAGCAATGGCAACATTGTATGGGAGAAGAGAAGAATTAAAAAAAATCTGAAAGGTTTCAGATTTTAAATTACCTCCTAAGGGGCGTTTTTTTTTTAATGTTTTGTGTGTTACCTTTACTTATTAAATATCATGTTCTTTGCACTTAAACCATAAAATTCAGTTCAACAGCAATGTCGCAAAATAATTTTAAAATGAGATATCTTTAGAATTTCAGGTACACAGTTCCGCGCGCTGGAGATGAAAAGGTTTTTTTTTTTTTTTTTTTCCCGTAGTGTGTTTGCTATTGCTCGTTTTTAAATAGTTAAGTTTGTTAATCAAAAATTCGCTAAAATTTTACAAAATATGAAATCGATAATAAAACAAATTCCAAATTTGGCATTCAGATGCCCTTATTCGCAGTAGGATTATGTCATTCAAAACTGGATGGCTCTAGGTACCGTTTTTTATCACAATGCGAGAAACATACAACATACATTTATTTAGATTCTTCATTATTTAATTTCTTCAAATATAATAATACAGGCCGATAGTATTTGGTAGCAACGATTTGAAAAGTGATTCTGCCTTTTAAAGTTTTCAACGCAAAATCGCAAAACGAAAGCAATAGTCCTTCTGGGACTTCCTTCCTTTGGACTGGAAAAAAAAAAAAAAAAAAAAATCTCAGCGAGCAATACTGTCTATCGGAAATTCTAAAGATATGCTGTTTTTAAATATTTCATAATATTGTTGTTGAATTGAATTTTATGTGGTTTAAGGGCGAAGAACATAATATTTAATAAATAAAGGTAACAGACAAAACATTAAAAAAACGCTCCTTTGGGGCGTAATCTAAAATCTGAAAGCTATCATATTTTTATTTTTTTGTTTATTATAGTTTTATTCTTAGAAGCACTCACAAAAGCATTGTTTTAAGCACTCGCAAAATAGCATTTTGAAATTTTGAGAAGTTGTCGAATAGCACTGCATTATTAAATATCATTATTTATTATATTTTTAACTGCTGATATATATTATTATTCAGCATATAATTATTTTAATAATATATACTTCTAGATGAGAGGAATCACCTATATTTCATGTAGAAATATTGCACTTATCAGCTCTAAAAGCTTCCCCTGAGAAAGCGATATAAAAAATTTTGAAGAGCGAAAATATTTTCTCCGATGCTTTGAGATTTAATGCGGATATTGTACTACTTTTGATTCCTTCACGCTAACAGTAGTCTAAAAGAAGAAGTATGTTTACTGGTAAATTACTATTTAAATATCTCAGCAAAGAAGTAAAATGAAAAATTAAATTTCTGAAATACATATTTCACCACATGCAATTCATGTCTCCTATACTACAAGGTGACAGCTTCCGTTTCTGGCATTTTTAATTCCCAGTAGCTGAGAGATTTCTGTTATTTAATTTTATGCATTTATAAATTCATTACATGAATTACGAATATTGCGTTTAAATTACTTTAATTCTTACGTAACTTAACATCAAAGATGAACTTTAATCTTTTTTGATTGCCTCACGATACTCTTAATTTACAAGATAGCAGTATCTTATTTCATTGGAAAATTGTGGTACGAAAGTAATGTATAATATTCAAATCAAACAGTTGGATGTTCCTATAAAATTTTTAAAGAAGTATTACTATGACAACTACTCTCAGCCCAAAATTATGACATTTACAGAAATGTCTCAGGTGTTAATGTAAAATGTTAATAAAATTCTAGCTTGATTGGCTGCAATTCCAATAATTAATGTACGCTAAATATTCTCTTTACTTACGTATTACCCTGTTGACTATAAAAGTTAGTGAAGATCCTGCTAAAATCGGGAATATCATTCCTGCACAATTCTTAAGAAACTGACGCTTCTTTCTTTAATTCAAAATCAATATTTGTCCTTCTTCGTTTCTGAGTTTCCTAAAACGACTTTCGTCAGTTTTTACTACTTAGGCCCTTCGAATGTACCAAAAGGTCTAGAAAGGTATTAATGCAAACTTCCAGCAGCATTCGAGTTTATTATTGTTTTGTCGTTTTTTTCCCCATTTAACAGATGCTAATTCTCTCCACCAGCTGTAAATGAAACGGAGTAAATTTACAAATAGCTCATCACCATTGTTTATTCGTTTCCCATATCGTGTCGATAAATATACACTTTTTCTAATGGTAAACGCTTGCATAACTTTGAAAATAATTAGTTGCTTGGGTTCCTATAAAAGGCAGGTCTCGAATTTTAATAATTTGTTTCTAAATGCAAGGTGAAATCGCAGCTATAGCAGTTAATTTATATCCTTCTCCATCGGTCTACTTCGTGACAGTTTCACAGTCGATGGAATAATTCGCAAGTACCATATTTTCAAATGTTCATGAAATTTTGGTACTTATACGTACTTACAAGTTGTACTTATTAACTCTATTACGACCAAAGCGGTCAAGATGGCTCTTCATTCAAACGACCAACGATTTCCCGAATAGCCGACATGGCATGCTTTGTTTCTATCCTTCCCATAAAGCGTATAATAACATCATAAGATGCAGTTTCCTTAAATGCATTATATCCGCTCATCTTTTATTGTAAAACAATCTTGTCATAAAAAGATTCTTTTGTGGTTCTTAATCTTTAGCTTAAAGGTGACTTAGTGTACTGAGTACTGGCTAATGAAGAAGCTCCTTTGTTATGAGCTAGAAACGATATCATTTGAAACTTTCATACCTGAATGAACGGAGGGAGGAGAAATTGTTGCGAATCTGAAATAAAATTTGAGGCGTTTTATTTTTCTAAGCAAACAGATCAGTGAAGCTTTTGGCCTTCCTTGAGTTAACGCAACCACCTCTGTAATATTTAGTGGTTATTTACAGATGAAAAGGTTACCGTTACTTATCTTGCGCAAGTTGGTGGTTTTCGAGAATTTTTTTTATAAAGATTCTTAAACTATCGATATTGGCAGACATTATCAGAGTATGAAAACAAACTTTAGCAATTTAAAATACAAATTTTAATTATTAAATTTCTACATTAAAAAAATTAAACATTTCCTGTAATTTTTTTTGCCTTATTCTACTCTAAGTATACAACGATCTATTTTCACTTAAAAAACATACAATTGCAGAGACTCGGCATTGCGCAAACTTTGGCAACACTGGCTAGCTACCAAGCATATTTTTCTCGTTGTTTACTTTAGAGATTTTGACGGTAGCAACATTCCATATTCCAGCAGAAATTTTTCTTACATTTCAGGACAATTCCACAAGCGCATTGTACAATTAAGTTTAAGGCAAAAAATATCACTATTTATTTCTAAAAACCGTTGAAACTTGACACAACAGAAAGAATACATACAAAAATGGCAACATGTCTTGAGTGAATGATGGTTTTTCACATGGTTGCCAAAGTTTGACACATTCTGAAAGTTTGGATATTTCTACTAAGGTGGTTGAGATAACACGTAAATACCGATTTTTTTAAAACCGTACTAAATTTACATTTCGGTTCAAATGCGATTCTTTAAGTTGAAGGTATTAATCAACTAAACATTCTCAGTTTAATTTTAATTTTTTTATTATAAGAGAATAAACAGATGATGTTTAAGAAAATCACTCTTGTCTGTATTGAAATTCCAATCTGCATTCTTTACGCTCAAATTATTAAATGAATGCAATGTTTAGTTTAATTTCCTTTCAGTGTTTACGTATTAATTAACTACTTATTAATTATATATATATGTGACATATCGTTTTTCATATGTGGTGAAGACAATGCATAGTTCTAAGTATAAAATCTAAGTTCTTAGAAACAGATAAAACAAAAAATAAACGAACAAACATTTATTTCATAAATACATGGTTTCCTTTATGAAAATTTAAATAAGTCTTCGTCTGTGATGAATTTGGATCACAATGTATTTTTTCGCAAAATATTTTGACAAGGTTGGGAAAACTGAAGATCCTGTAATATTAAGAAATATAAATGAATATGATTATTTAACATTAAATGCAAACATTTCTATACTTTCTCACTATTACAGCTTCCATTATTTAAATGGCGCCAAGATTATCGGGAATTTTTAATTAACGGAAATTGCAAGAACCTACACAGCAAATCAATGTTTGCTGTGTAGGTTCCACTTGCTGTGTAGGATATGTGATTGCCACTGACCTCGTAAAATGTCCGACTACATACCCGCAACACATCGCCAAGCGCAAATGTTTTGGTTAGAAACCTCCTGCTTAAAATAGTGCTCGGAAAATCGATTCCCAGGAAAAGTTTTTTTTTTAGCGTCGTTTGTCGCCATATGTAATAACTCTGTTAACGCAGTGGTAGTTCTTAGGGGCTTTGAGAAGATAGAAAAGTAATTTTCTTTTCTTGTCAAGTCCTGAAAAGTCGCCGGAACGAGTAGATCTGTATTGTTCGGCCGTCACTCAAGATTCGGGTTCGAGCTTCGCTTTTTCTCAGCCTTAATTTTGTCGTAATGAGACCAATCGTTTTCGTCTATGGACGCTAGTGCCGGCTGCACTTAAAAAAATGTTCCCACACTTGATAGGCCCTATGACAGCATTTTGATTGCTTCTGGTCAATACATTTGAAAGTGAAGAACTTAATTCGAAGAACTACTGATGGTTTGTGACATATGCTGGCGCCGTTTAAATAATAGGGCTTTAGTAAAAAAAAGAAGTACTATATTTACATCTTTCTTATTTCTAAAAGGCAGTATTTTTGCTCCCGGAAGGAAAATTTGGATGCAAAAATTGTCAATTTCCGTTCGAATGAATGTACGCAAACAAATATTTTTAAATTACAATAGTTACTTCTAACTGATATTTCATTAACTGAAGAAATACAGAAACTTACATTTTCGCAGTTTCAACTTGATTTAAATCTTTTTACTTTTTAGATTGCTTTTAAGAGAGATTTTTTGGACTTTATCTGTTATGAGAAAACACGTGGCAATATTAGCCGTGGTCATTCGGGTAATTATGGAAACGAGAGAGCTGATTGGCTTGCTAAGAATGCAACTAAAAATGATATTAACGTTGATGTAAATATTCCAAAATCTTATTTAAAAAAAAACATTCAATGCTAAAATGATTGAGCGGTGGAACTGTGATTATATCTCTTCTGATAAGGGATCTGTTACAAAAACATTCTTCCCAACTATTTTTGAAAGACTGAAAAGTAAGGACTTGTTGCTCAATTTTAAAGTTACGCAATTTTTGTCTGGACATGGTAAGTTTAATGTTTATCTTGAACGATTTAAGCTGACATCTTCCGATTTACCAATTCAGAAGTCAAACAACAAAAATCAGTTATATTTACAAAATTTTCACAGGACTAGTTTCGATGGTTTTACCGAACCACCATCTTCAGCTGCAAAACCGCAAATGAACAAGATAGGAAATAATGATTAGATAAGATAGAAAAAAAATTTGTTGTTTGACTTCTGAATTGGTATTTATTTGGCGTGTTATTGTGTATTAATCTTTCGATTTGTGTAATTGCAGTCTTAGCGTTCAGCAAAGTGTTTTCCACCTGCTTTTTGATTGCTCACTGCTTGATAAAGTGATAAGTGATAAGTGACGGTGGACGTGGGCACTGTCCCTTTGCCGTAAAGATTAATCAGTGCAGCACCACGTCCACCCTTATCTAAAGTTGGCTAGAGATTGCATATAGGCTACGTATAGAACATAATAATTACTCCTATAATTACGCAAAGTGAAGCTTGGGAGAGCTTTCATGCAGGGCTAGTACATATGCACTACATGTGTGCTGAAGGCGGTTGCAACTAAATTACTGCAGTGCACGTATAAATAGTGCTGTGCATATACATATTTACATAATTATGACACTGCATGTCTTATATATACACTATGCGATACGGCATTGACATTAATATGAGGTATGAGATAATAGTGGTATTACATTACCATTATTGACATTACATTTACGAATTACATTATGCAGATTCAACTCTGTAAATATATTGTCAGGAGCAACATTGCATATAGAACACATTTATAACACTATATTTGCTCTTGCTTTTATGTGATTGAGCTTCAGGATGGCGTACAGGCAGACCTGATATATAGACATTATAGGTGCTCAAGGCATCTGGAGGTCCTGCTGTACCTGTGAGACTTTTGTACAGGCACATAGATACTTATTTATGAACAGTATTTGCATATAATGCGGTATTGTAAGTATTTTCTATATTATGTTACGTAATTCAATACAACATTGCATATGACTTTACATTACTATTCAGAAATGACGTTTACACTTGCGTTACGGTGGTATTACATTTACAGTTTGTGCAGCGTTCGGATTCAGCAGTGTTTTTATTATGTCCAAAGTGACATTAGATTTTGATACATATTAAGCAATATAATTGCTCTGGCAGTTATGCAAATGAGGTTAGGATGTCTGACATGGCGGGGCATGTAAGTATACATTTCTAATGTTCATAGGAGCATCTTACTATGTCACTGCGGTATTGCGCAGGACTGTACTGTACTATGCTTTTGCATACATATTCTAAGATATTGCCCTTTGACTGTTCAGTACATCCGATGCGACATTTACATTTAAATACACGTATTTAAAGCAGCTAGGTTGTGCAGCCAGTTATGGAGAATGGGCATTGGGTAGCATTACACTTGCAATTCAGGTCTAGGCGGAGCCTGAATTGCAAGTGTAACGCTACCCAATGCCCATTCCCATAACTGGCTGCAGTGTACTTTCCTTTTGTCTGACACGTCATCCATATTGATATTCACTGTTAAATTAATGGAGATGTTCGCGCATACTTGTTGATGTGCATGAACTATTTTATATAATGGTTTTTAAGTTATTTATATTGCTTGAATTTTGATTAGTACTGCTGAGATGTTGCGGTACGCTTCGGATAAACAGTACATGTACACATACGCGGTGTACTTAGCCTTGCGTATACGTGGTATATGTGGCCTTGCACTAATTATTCGACTGCGCAAAGGTCAGTTCCGTGTCTGGCAAGTAAATTCATAATTTTAAAAAGCAAGAAATCTTTTGAAATGTAGATTGAAATTCATTGGAATTCATTGGCCGCCGAAATGTTATGATTTTGTATCCTCGACTTCGGCCTACCGAGCTTTCAATGATTTTGTTGACTTTTATTTTAAACACTGTTAATGATTTCTTTATACATTTTTATACTTTTGTATTTACTTGTATTTTTTTTTCTTGTTATGACTTCATTGTATTGTTGAAAACTGATGATATTATTTACTATTCTGCCTTTTTTACTTACGATTTTAAGTCTCGTGTGATACTTTGTGGTGCACGAGGATTTCTTTTTCTTTAAATAAATAAAAAAAAAAAAATATTAGCCATCGTTAAATTATTATTTTTATCTTAATTTTGTTTCCAAATTATCGTCAAAATATTTTTTAAATGTATTCTGTTTCATTATTGAAATAATTAACCTAACGACACACATCTTATGCTTAAAAGTTTTTACCACAATCGAAGTGATCTCATAATGAAAATATGCTTTCTCAATGGAAGTATCAAACTGGTATGTATATTTTTCTAGAGAAAATAATAAGTTGCGCATTTTCCTATAACGGTTTTTTAATACACATTTATATTTTAATTTAAAGTATGTCGTTTAAAATTTCTCTTCTTGGTTGAATTCACTACAGACCTAAAGGCCACGAAAGCATAATCCTAAGATTCAATGTCACAATGCAAACATAACTTACAGCATACAAGGAACGTTCTTCAAACTTTGATTTTTTCTTAAAAAATTCATATGAATTTACTCAGACAAAAACACATAACGTTAAAAAAATAACATCTAGATTATACAAAAACACTATTAAAAATGCAGTTATTGAGTGTCAGTTATGAACTTTTAGAGGTTATGTGGCACAATTTTAAAATTTCAAGAAATTTCCAAAATAACGCTACATTACAAAATAGAGTTAGGTTAGTATATTTTCGATTTCTTATTTACACTGATTTATCATTTCACTTTTTTATCTCTTGGTGAATGAGAAAAAGCATTTGCAGCTTTTCGTATATTGTTTTATTACCAGTAATTCGAGTAATTATCAAAAACATTTCCTTTATTTTTTGTCCCCATAAAATTCCAAAATGATTTAACTCTAAACCGATTCGGAGGAAAAAGAGAAGCACAGCTGATTCCTCACGTTCAAAGTGAAAATAAAAGTTCCTGGATTGCAAGCTCTCCAGTACTATGGTTACAAGTACTGGAGAGCAAGCGGCAAGTAAACTAACGTTCTTTTCAAAAGTTTCAAAAGCTTTCAAAACATACTTTGGTATGTTTTGTGCAAGACAAGTGCTGGACGAAACAATCGTTGAGGGATGGAAGAACGATGCAACGCAGGCGAGAACAATTTCATTTTCCACATGTACAGAGCTAGAGATAGATAGATACAACTTTTTAGTTGTGAGACAGCTAGAAAGCTACCGAGATAGAGCTAGATAGATATAACTTATAACCGTTAATGGGATTCCACAACGGAAATAATTTCTCATGTGCAACGTGTATACGAGTCAGTTCCCTTAGAAAGCCCAGCACGAAAGTATCCTTCCTATTGGGCAGATACCCTTGAGTGCTCTGCCATATTCCAAATAAACCTGAACTTTCAGATTTCATTTTTGAAAATTTGGAAAGTAGCAAAAATGCCCGTATCGCCAAATCATGCTATAATTTTTTAACTGTCTCTTTATATTACAGCAACAACTAAATTTTTCACTATTGTATATTTTTTGGTGAAATGATTCATACACATTTTCTTTTTCAGAAAATTGGAAGACATTCTTTCTTAGAATTAAGTCTAAGATGAGGCTGACGTTAAGATGAGGCTTAATCTTGGAAATAGATTTAAGGTTTAAAAAAAAATTAAAAAGAAAAGTGGTCTTTTGCGTAATATGTAAATAAAACGCTTTAAAATTTGGAAAAACGTACAATTTCTGATGATCATTTCTAATGCCTGGTTTATATAACGTCAAGAAATAATAAGTAGCAAAAAGACGTGCTTACCTTTTAATTTTTTTTTTTTTTACTTCTTAACATAGGTATAACCTAATGTGTAACTAGGTTGGTAGTAAATAGGCTCTGAACTGGCAAGACCTACATATGCTGGGACGCTTGGTACAGCATAGGCATAGCCACCCGCTGGGTAACTGTAACTGTATGTGGCTGGATAAGCGTAGCCACTAATGTAAGAAGATGGAACAATATAAGCTCCAAAAGCACTGGCGAGCAGACAAGAAAAGATGATTGCGCCCTGTAAGAGAATGTGTCAGTATCAGGCAAGTAAAAACAATTTTTCAGTGTAATTAATAACCATAGTACATAGCTTTAGTAATAATCATAATACTTTATTAATAATCATAGTACTTGAGCTCAGATGTTAACTATTGAAAACAATTAAAGGGGATGGATTGTCTTAATTCAATAATGCACAGTTATGTAGAAATATTACGAATATTATTGTTCCGTATTCATAATCGCTCAAAATTGTTGGACGAGATTAAGAAATAAAACAGAAGTCTGACCTTAACTTCCTCGTAGGATGTAAAGAAAGTACTACAATCGCAAAAAAATTCCATTATCAGATTTCAACGAAAATATCCATTTTGACAGTTTCTGAACCCATTTTTATTTTATTATTATTATTATTATTATTTTTTTTTTTTTTGCATGACGTCTGTACGCACGGGCAGAATATAGGACTCTTTATTCCAAATCGGATTGTAAAATGGATTCAAAATGAATTTTTCTGTACGTATTTACATACATATGTATCTCGCATAACTCAAAAATGATTAGCCGTAAAATGTTAAAATTTAGTAAATGGGACTACTACATCATCTAGTTGTGTAGCTTCCTTTTTTTATCGCAATCAGCAAAGGCAAAAGTGTGTATATACTATACATAATACCTACCCTCCTTGCCCGGCTTTAAATCCTTACCCAGGTTTTATTTTCACAGTCGTTGGTCGTAATTAATGCTTCCAATTACAGAAGTGTTTTAAATTATGAAAATATTCATGGTTTTGCAATGTCAAATTTTACAAAATAGTTTTGGACAAAAAACGAAATTGAATTTTTAACGCGATCTCCCGGTTCCTCTACTTATATTTGGGAAAGTTTAATTCTCATTATGAAAAATAAAAACACAAGAAGTTTGACTCTATTTAAATTCAAAATTTGCAATTTTCGATGGCATAATTAACTTGCTTTGAGGAATCGTTTAATTAAGTTAGGAAGAATAATTCGAGGAAATAAGTTTAATAAACGTGCACCAAAAAAAATGTGCATAACTTAATTGGCTATACAATGAAGTCATGTGGTGTCCACATCGGATTGTTTTTTAATCTTATGGATATAATAGCAGAAAAATACTGTATATCGAGCTGCAAAAAATTCTTTTGCTATTGTCCTTATGAAAAACTGTTATGAATTTGGTTAAATAATTATTAAAAAAATACCGGGCAGGAGGTCGGGAGATAAGGAGTATATTTTACTTTCAGAAAGTAACCTTAAAAAATTAAAAACAACCTACCACAGATTGATAAATATGTTTCATATATTTATATGCGGTATACAAATGCTCATATTTCAAACTTAATACATAAAAGATAATACATAAAATACGAGTATACATAAAATATACATAAAAGATAATACATAAAATATACATAAAAGATAATACATAAAAGATACGAATCAAGCAACTGAAAGCTGCTCTCACCTACAAAGTTGAAGCAAACTAACAAAGTAAATAAAAGCTGCATTTACTCACATATCCCTCCTTGCTTTTAAGTCATCTGACTTATAGTAACAACTGTGTGTACAGCTATTCCCATAAGTCAGAAAGTTCATTGTTGTAAGTGAAAAGAATGCTGATGGAAAGAGTAATTTCTTGAAATACAGAATGCAGTAGTAATTCTTTATATGTTCTTTTTAACGTGCGATGTTCTTCATTTATATGCCCTTTCATAAGTGGGAAAAGAATAAGTTTTCCTCTATAATTACAAGAAATAAAATTAATAAAAAAGGGACCATAAACTAGTAAATTCAGCAAATAAAATGTCCCAGTATAAAATCACTAAACGCTTTCAGTGCATTTTATGACCGGAGATAAGCAAAAGATCTCCTATAACCATAACAGGAGAAAGTGCGTAGTTTACGACATACTGCAGTACTTTGAGGATCAGTAAGAAAAGGATGCGAAGGTAGTTAATTGATTTGGACATTTAAAAAATTTCTGAGAACTATAAATTCAAGATAATATTTTCTGTGCAATTGCAGAATATGTTACAAAAGATGTTATGGGGAAGGATTTTGAATATAAAAGATCTTCTTTCCATTAGATCTTCATTTTCTCAAGTTTATAAAAGTATAAGAAACAGGGATGATGATTAAAGTAATGCCAACAAGCAATTAAATGCGACGTAGAATTTTTTTATTATATAGTAGCAATTATTTTGACTTTTTATTAGCTAGCATTGCATTCGCCGAGCTCTAACACAGTACTGAGAAACCTGAGGTATTTTGTAAGAAAAATAAGGAGTTTACACACAGGATAACTGCATATAAACGAGCTTGATATGTTCAAAGTATTCTACAAAAATCAGAAATATATATATTTCCATGTTTGAAATAAATGTAATATAATTTATTTGAAATAAATCTACACTGCGAGGAAAAAAAGGGACAGTTCTATATCTCCAGTTCTATTGGACCGATTATCTAAATTTAACTTGCGTGCTTTTTGTATCGAAAGCGTGACTTAGGATATATATTGGATTTATATATAGCATTACTTTAACATAGTTATTTTGACATAAAATTGAACTTTTTCTGAAATAATATATAAATTTTTTCCCATATTTCTATTTTCCGACTCAGATTATGCCTAGATATTAAATTTTATGATTTTTGGTAAGAAAGTTATGGAGAAATTTAAAAATTTATCTTGGCGTATTTTTTTTTCAGTTTGCGCCAAGAATAATTCACTTGGTGGAATTCTTGATAACCTACTTACTTTCCTCTTTTTTTTTTTTTTTTTTCATTCATGCACGAGAGGAAAAAGGGTCCATCGTTCATTCTTTTAAATAATTTGAAGAAAGTCCTTAAACAACATTTTCATTATTAACGCTTATATTAAAAACACCAAATTTGAAAATGCTCCAAAGTGTAAATCAAAGCTCCAAAGTATATCTTAGGAAATTTGGAATAAAAAACTCAAATTATTTGCAGGTATGCTTAGAAATACACCTACTTTAAGATGATGTTAAAAAGTTTATAGGTTGTAATACTAAAATTGTTTCGAAAAATTTATAAAATATATTTTAAAATACAAATTTTTAAAATAAATAAATAAAGTATGCGAATTATATTTGGATTAAGCCTAAATTTCGAATTCTGGAAGAAGGAGTTTAATTGAAAAGAAATATTAATAAATGTATAGCCAATTCAATTAACATTGAGCTAAAATTTTGAGAGCTAACTTTTTTTTAATTACTCGTGCGATTTTTACAAAGTTTGGTGGTTTGGTATAATTTGAGTCCTAGAATCGAAATATGGAAAATATTTGCCATGTCATTTCAGAAAAATTCCGATTTTTTGTCAAAATACTTATGTTAGAATAATACTATACATAACTCTAATACATATTCTAAGTCGCGCGTTCGAGACGTGAAAAACACAAAAACGGGAGATATAGTACGGTCTTTTTTTTTTTTTTTTTTTTTTTGTCGTGTACATTGTACAGAGAAATAATAAACGACAATTTGACTTGAAACTTCCATTTCTTAATTTCTAATGTGAATCGTGTGCCTAACCTTACGTCATTAGCCAAAACGGCGCTTGAAATGCAACAGCAAGTTACGATTGCAGCCCGAGCGATTGCATACCAGAATGATTGTGAAGTCACGAATTTAGAAAAATGTTATTTAACATTGTTGCTCTCGACTGTAGGAAAGTGACGAAAACAGTTACTTGCAAATAGAAATACACAGAAAAAAGAATCTTCTGGAAGGACTCCCAATAGCACCCATCACCGCTCGAACTGTAAGACTGCTGAACATTGATAGCTCCAACTCAGGTTCAAATCCTGGCTACCTGGGAAGGTGCGTGGAATTTCCGAGTATAACGTAAATGCGAGCCAGTTTTTCTCGAAAGTCCTTCATGAAAGCATTTCTTTCTTAAGGCAGATAGCCGTCGTAAGTTTTAGCCTAACCAAAATAATCCGATCCAAACTGACTCACCGTAACATTGATGATGTTTATAAAAGAATTCTATAATAACCTACAGAAAAAAAGTAATAGTTGTGATGAGTTGGTATTGCTGTACATTGTCCTTCAGTTCAAGTAACTGACTTAAGAGGGGTGAAATATGGGTTTTGGAAAGAACTGACTTTTCAAAACCACTATTTCACTTAAGCATCACTTAACATCATGTACTTGCGATGAAACGTGTTGCCATTCGTTTTATTCATGTTATATGAGAAAAATAATTAAATGGTTTAAATACTATATTTTGAACTACAATTCTATTCTTAAGTATTTTAAAAACTTCTGAGTAATATAAATGTAAGGCAAGATTTTTTGTGAAATTCCAGACTATTTCTTACGAAAGATATCGTAATGAAGCAGGGATATGTACATAAAATGTGAATATAAAAAGAAATAAATGTACCTTCTTTTAGCGTAACAGTTAATTTATAAGAAATTATTTCAATACCCTTTTTAAAAGCCGCGCACATAAAATAAGTGGATTTTTGAAAGGGCATTTGATAAAACAAATATTGAATTTGAGGCATTATCGTATAAATTACAGTACGCCAATCGAAAAACAAAATAGTGACATATGGCAATTCGATACGCATTTGTTATACTAAAGCCAGAACTCAGTCTTAAATCGTAAAAATAATTGACAAAAGAAGAAATCCTTCACTTGATGAATGATCAGATGCCTTAGATTAAACATGAAGATTAAGCTTTAGAGAAGATCTGAAGGTTAGACGTTTTAATGGAATTGGAGAAACTCTACACTTTATTGCATTTCGTCGAATTCCGCACGATTTCAACAATTGGTAAAATGAAACTAAAACAGACGCCTTCAAGCTCTTTCTACGGATATCGCCTGATTACCTCTTTGAAAACTGAACTCAAATTTATATATACATAAACTGTATGATTATGAGCATTAACATATTGACAGGAAAGGTAACCATTTGCTCTTCCACATTTGTCTGTCTATTTGAATGTGATATTTTCATGAAATCTCCTAATAAGCAAACAGTTGGTAAGGAATGTAAAGCACGTTAAGGTTAGCTTTGTAAGATTTTCTTTTGTTAAAAGAAATATGGTTCTGCAGTCTCATAAGCGAAAAACCACGCTTCCATGCCGAACCTGGGATGTGGGATCATGTATAGGAATTTGGTCATTTCCAGTTCCTCTTTAGATGCGTGAATTTCTGATATATACTATAGTACGTTCACTATTACCCGTAGAGTTTTAATTTTGAAGTACGTTAATTTTTATCCTCTCTGTTGTATTTCCAGTGTCCTATCTCAGAACTACGTGTAATAAACTAGAGCGCAATTAAGGTTAAGCAATGTGTTCTCTTCTTTCGAATGCATAATTTTGATTTGAGGCTGTAAAGTAACTGTGCAAGGTAAAATAAGGGATTAGAAACGTCCGTTAATTTCTTTAGAGTTAGGATACAAAAGTTTATAAAATAAATATAAATCACGTGATGCAATGCAAGAATATACAAGTTCTAAACATAACAATATGTGCGAAGTGGGTTTAAAATGAAAGGAGTGAACTAGAAGTTAAAAATCAAGAGATGCATTATATAATGAGTTAGAAATTTTATTGCATAAATGAAAGAAGTAATTGAAAAATCGAATAATTATTTAAGTTATTGATATGTGTGTTTATTCTTTTAAATCACTCAGGTTGTTAAGTAGTAAATGAAATCAGCCTGGAAAGAATTTGTCAAATCACATGAAAAATGAATTAAAGACCTTATATTTTGCTAAATGGCAATACTTATCAAGTTGCCAGGATGATAAATTAATTGTAACGTAACGTGAAAGTCCAAGCATTTTGAAAAAGTAAGCTCAAAAATAAATGCCTAATCTTGAAACACTAAGTAGGCAACAAAATAGAATACTTTAAAACTAATACTAATGAGAAAAACATTAGAAGGTAAATAACAGCTTAAGACGTCTATCAAAACATGTGAATTTAGATTGATTGACCAAATTTTCATATTTAATTCACTAAATTTTCAAAATTATAGGAGAACTATTTACATAAACATAATAAATTTAAAATAAGTGAAAAACCATTTATACTAAGAAGATTTGATATTGTTTGCCCAAAATCGAAGAATGCTATAAACTGCTTTATAAACTGATATCAGTATTTCCTCTCAAATCCAACAATTTATAGGTTAATTATATATATCTAAATATATTTACATAATCAAGAGATAATAATAAATCAAAATTAAACTATGAAAGGTAGGCTATCTCCTAACAAGAAATATGCATATCAAAATTAAAAGAAAAACATAAACATTTAAAATTTAAACAAAATAAATTCAATAAAATAAATAAAAATAACATAAAAATAAGGAATTATTCAAATTCTTTGGTACCTTTCTTTTTCTTTAAGAATTTGCGACAGAACTACGATTCTGAATTATATCTAAATGATTCTTAGGACTGGAAACATTTCGAAATGTAAAAGAAAATGCCAATTAAGATAATTTAGTAAAATTAAGATAATTAAATTGCTTTAAAAGTGCAATAAATATTCTTAAAATATTTTTTTAAATTTAATTAATTATCAAGATATAACTTGCTCAAATGGGACCCTGAAATAAAAATTACAAACATTTTAAGTAAAAGTATAAGAATCTAGAAAAACCATTGGCTAAATCAAAAGCTAACTACTAACATTAATTAAATTTTCTAGTAAGTAACTTGAATAACTATTGGGTAAATTGAGCAATGAATTAAACATGAAAATAAAAATAAAAAGTATTCAAGTTTGGGGGGCTCATGAATCGTTTAAGCGTTATATAAGTATAATATGAATGTCAGTATGATTCATTTTTTAGAGGATCGAATTTGTCATTTAATGTTTATTTTGTATACAAAATTTTCAGATTGTTTATAAGATGAAAATAGAGATTTTTATCCTCAGTGCTATACTTTATTTTAATGTATTATGGGGATAAATGACTTGCAAAAACCATTTCTTCTGGGGAACTCTTAGAAAAATCGAGAAGGCGAAAGCAAAATCGTGCCCCAGTTGGTAGTTTATCAAGCGTTTTCTTTATTGGAATTTCTTATGCCTATTAATGGGGAAGAATGCAAAAGTTGCATATTTTTCCTTGGTCTCTCAGTCGATATATTTCCCTTTAATTTAAATTCGGGCAACTGATAGTCAACTGCTGAAACGTTAGGCCTTCAGTCCTCAGAAATAATACATGGATTAGTCTAACTTTATAGCCTGCCGGAAGAATTTTCACCTCTCGGTTTTAGTTAATACTATCAGATCGCTAAACAAATATAAAAGAAAGGAAAATAATGGAAATTTTATTGAATTTAGCTGAAGTACATAACTGAACTAACAGGAATTATTCTTGCTGCTGAATAGAATTTTATGTGGCGTAAGTGCCAAGAACGTGATGTTTAATAATTAATTGAGTACAAGAAACTTTAAGAATAAAATGCCAAAAAATTTTGTAATGACATCTTGGTTCGAAAACTGAACATTGATATGATAAACTGAGAAAAGACTGAAAAAAAAAAAAAAAAAAAAAAAAAAAAAAAAAAAAAAACCTAAAAATATATTCCAACACTTAAAGTTACTTAACACTTAAAGTTAATTCTAAACGTATACTGCTGTGCTCCTTTTAAAATTTTGCTGTTGATCTGTATATGGCGTAAGTGCGAAGAAAATGATGTCTATTAATAAAGCTAAAAAGACAAGAAAAAAATAGGTTAATAGGAGTAAATATAACAGAAGACTGGTAGGCTGCGAGCTCACCGAGAGTGGGAAAAACCTTAGCAAACCCTTTTAAGGCGACGGTTATTATCTGAAATCTTTCAGATTTTTTAAAAAATACTTTTTAATATTAACTTTTGGTGATTTTACTTCATCGTGGCTAATTAGGCTATCACAGAAGTTCAACTTCAGATATTCATAGCCGAATGTTGTACATTTCTTTCACAATGCAAGATGTTACTTGGAATTAAATGTTTTCATTTGCAATGAAAATATCTGAATAGCTTTTATGAAGCTTGTTTAAAACGAAATAATTAAAGAGAAATTTAGAAAGGATTTTATTATTTAAAAACCAAAAACTAAAAAATACCACTTGAGTAATTTATCTAAATATGAAAAAGAATAACAACATTGAACAAATGTCTTAGTTGTTTCCTTCATTTTTAAGAAGTTTATAAAGTTTATAAAAGAATTTATAAAGAAGCATTAAAATAAGAGATACCAGAAACTGCGATTAATAAAGGAGTAAATAAATCTATTAAAAGTCAAAAATCTAAACTTCTTATGATATTGCATGACTTTTGCTAATGCAATGTAAAGATTAATTAAAACAGCAAAACAATCAAGAGCAATAGGGTGGGCAAAGATAAAAGATTTTTTAAAGGAATTTAACTAATATTTCCTTACACATATGGCAAACTACAAAACACAGTGTCCAGCTAACATGATGAATAGCTAGAATTAAAGGAAAAGAAGAAATATAGGTGTTCATTGACCTTGAAATGCTTAAGGTGGACAAAGCCATCCCAAACATTTCAAAATTCATTCGATTCCACTTTTTGAAATTTATTTAATGATTAGATAATACGAATTATTTATCTCAAGGTTAATGTTAAGCACTGAATGACTAAAGGGAATGTCAGAAGTGATAAGTATAATTTGGAATCTGTTCCATAATAATCAATTTATCACGCATATAAAATATGTAAAATTCATGAAATGTTATTTATATCTTTTGCCAAGTGAATGATATTTACAAAACAGCATTTATTTAACGGGACATTTAACTTAGGATATTAAAAACAAAAGCTGGCCTTTTTATTATGCTGGCCTTCTTTATTTATTTAATCCAAAATGCAAATTAATGTCATTCATTCAGCAGAAGATCTGAATTATCGAGTCAAAATACTTTATATTTAAAACAGCCTTTCTTCTCCAGTTAATTCTGAAATTAATTTTTACTGAAACAGATTTCATGCAGGTAATCGGTGGGATCGAATATCGAAATCTGATTGAAATAGCCTGATTTTGGATCCATTGATATGTAACATGAATAGCTGTATATTGATACGATATAATAACGCGCTGCAAATCTATGCTTATAAAGATTTAACGTCTTCTCAACTGGCAGAAAAGAAATATAATGCTTTAAATTTATACCGTGGACTTCGAGGCACCAAAGTAAATCCTTGTAAAACACTTACCAAAATCTTCATTGCTTGATAAGTTTGTTTACGATGCTTTGCTAAGTGAAATCACTTAATCTCTGGTAGGTTTGTTGTTTCTTATATACTTTCTAAGAGTCCTTGATTTGAAATAAATTGCTGCATGCACCCTAAATTTGAACAAGCACGTCGCCTAAGGGCTAATGAGTAAGTTATTGCAAAATTTTTAAAATTACAAAATGTAAATACGTCAGGATTAACTCTTCGTAAACATAATTCGAAAAAATTCCTCCCTTGTTACCTAAACATTTCATTCCCACGTATCACCGACGACACGTGATAACAAATTTCATCTCCATTTATTTCTTCAGTGGTAGTTTGTATCCCAATGGAGAAACTCAACTCATGAATGGGAGGCTAATGAGATAGCCTTCGGCGGTATAAGAGAAATAGGATTGCTAAATAGGTTAATGAGGTGACACTGTGGCCGAAAACAGATTTCTTCATTTTCACCTTTCCTTAAAATTCAGTAAAGTCTATGACCTTAAGAAAATAATACTTTCCGAATGGTATTTAATTAAAAATGCGATAGAATTCCAAATAAATGCACCAACTGTGATCACAACCCATTCTATAATTAGTAAAATCAGGATAACTACGTTTATCTTTTTTTTATAAGCAAAAGAGGAATTTACCACAAAACAAAGTGAAAAGAAATTTGTATTTTCGTTTATCGTTCTTTGCTTTAACTAAAATACTTAAATGCAATTAAATAAAACATTCTTTTTTATTTGACAAAATAAAACAAAAATTATTTATTATTTGTTTAAAGGTGCCCCTTTTTACTTCAATGAAAGTAAAACAATTTAATTTAGTTTCTTTTATGTTGGTCCTAAAACTGAGTCATAATCTTCTTTTTATTTTTACTGTACTGAAATCAAAAACGTACGAATAGAAATGGGCATCAGAATTTCACCATTAGTCAGAGATGTAAAGTTAACGTCTGTGTTTTGTATCTGAAGAAACCCCCAAAGAAATATTTCACTTGAATATGTATCGGACCAGTAGTTTGTAATTCGTTTGTTGTCAGAAACAGAAAAAAAAATATCATCGGTTCATCTAGTTTTCGTCAGCGTTTTAATAAATTAATTCTAATCAATTCATTTCTCAGTTCCACTATTATTTCAGTACTTTACTTTCTCTTATATGGTGCCCCAGGTATTTTTCAAAAAACTGCAACAACAACAAAATGAATTGGAATTCTTTGGTGAAAACTTCTGAGTAGCTACGCCGAGTCGCCATTCCGTCCTTCACCGCTTGGAATGAACATGAATACAAACACTTCTGATAAGTTCGACTGCAAATATTTATGAAAACGTTTTCATCTTTCGTCTATGTCTCGAGCAGGTAATATTATATAATAAATAATTGAAATCGTAAAGCTTTCAGATTTTATATTATTCCCAAAGGGGCATTTTTTTTTTCATTTACGCATACATACACATTTCGAGAGCATTTGGGCTAAAAGTATTAAAAGCAGCGTATATTTAGAATTTCTGATAGAAAATTTCGTGCACTAGAGATAAAAATATCTTATTCCGCACTGTGTGTTGCCACTACTCGCTTTGAAATCGTTAAGTTTCTTAATCAAAAATCCGTTAAAGTTTAAAAAATATGAAATAAATTATAAAACAAATTCGAAATTTAAGATTCTGGCTTCCAGGTGTCCATATTCGAGTGGAGGACTACGTTATTCAGAATTTGACGGCTCTAGGTACCTTTGGTTTTTCACAATGCGAGGAAAATTCATACATTCATGTATATTCTTTATTATTAAATTTCTTTAAATATAATACAGGGCGATAGTATTTAGTTGCAGCTATCTGAAAAGTGATACAGCCGTTTGTAATGATTCGACGCCAAATGCCGTTTTGAGACTAACAGCCCTTCTATGCTAATAATAATTATTTTGTTAGTTAATTTTTAAAAATAGCCTTTCGTTAAATAATACTTGTTTGCTTTGCTTCTCTCTAAGGATAGCGCCAAACATAATTCCCGCTTCTTGCCACGTTGTAATAAACCAACAAATACGAGTAAAATATCACCAAACGTAAACATTGTCTTAATTTTTTCAGAAGCGCAACCTCTTCGTCATTTAGCTATCGAACAGTTGAAAGCAGAATTTCGTTTCAGAAGACTTCGCTTTGAAAAAAATAAAAATTATTTAAACTCCCGCATTGTGAAGGATAACATTAAAAGAAGTGAAGATACAACTTTAGGTGAATTAATTACTTATCGTACGCAATTGCCAAATAATGATGAGCATAATCCCGAAAAAAAAAAATTCCTTACAAAGCAGAATTATTGAAATAATATGATTCATTAACAAAACAAATATAACTTTTAAGTAATCGGCCTCATCCATTCTACCCCTTCACACCTTCTCCTTCTCAACTAGATTTAAATATTGGTGCAGTGCTCCCTACCTTGGAGACACAATAATTGTTATCAGATAGAAAATTATGTTCCCCAAATGTTTCTCCAAATTACATCCGCCAAAGATACTTCAAATTCAGTTTAGAATTTTAAGGCAAATGCCGTTAACTACAATTGACTAATTCTTGTCTCGACGGATCGGCAAAACACTGGCAGTTGACAACAGGGAAAAATTATAATGATTGGATTTTACCGAAAAATGCTCTTACCTCATGATTTAAAAGGCGACAATGCAAAAATGTTTAGTACACAAAAGTGAACAAAAATTGAAAAATTTTAGTATACAAAAGCACAACCTAACGGTAATTTAATGTATTTATGAAAAAATGCCCCTGGTGGAGAAAACTCCTTTTACTATTCCACAATCTGAGCGCATTTCATTGATGTTTGGTGGCAATACAGAAGAAAAATGGCAAATCGCCTTAGCTACCACGAATGTACCACTGTCGAAGAACTAATTGACTGGAGAACGACACTTGATGCAATTTGACCTGCGAAACAAGGAAAAATACAACAAGAGTCTCTGAAATTTCAAATAATATTCTTGATAAGCAACGCATTAAATATAATCACGCAACTGACGGCGTTCAAGATATTTATTGTAGTTGATGTGGACATGAAGGCCATACATCTTTTATGTGCTGTTTACATCCTCCTCAACGAAGCTCACCTATATTGGAGTAGAATCGCACCAAAAAGAGCATCAACTTCATCATGTTCATCTTGGTGCGAACATCATGTTCTTCTTAGTGCGATTCTACTCCATTCGAGATTTAACTTTTCGCCAATCTTGGAGTCCTGATTGAAGTTGGGCTCTATGTAAAGCATTCCTTTGAATGTTCTTGGATGGGGTAGCAGAATTAATAATATTTTATTGAGAGATATAATAACTTTATTGCTGAATTCAATAAGTAAGTCTTCTTTGCATGTATTGAAAAAAATGCATTCTATTTAAATTTAAAGGATATATTATAATTATATTTAAAGGATTTCGAACAACAGTTTCGTTTTTCGTCTGAATTATCAAGAACCACTGACAGTTAATTAACATACTTGTGCATTGATTTCATAATATTACATGCACATGAAAGTTGCTGCAGCTATTTCTCTTAAGACCCAATAATTTGCCAATATACAAAATCTACGAATTGAAAACAATAAACCTTCGATGGAATTTTCTTCGATGTCTTTAACTAATTTTAAATTAATTAAACTAATAAAAATAATTTAAACATTAAAAAATTAAGATATATTTTTTTGCAATAAGAAGCTTTAAGATATCAGAGAAATTATCTTTTAAACCTATACATTTTCTAAGATCCTAATCAAATACTCCACGCTGTTTGATAATCTTGAAATTTGTTGAAACTAAGCGCTTCTTAGGCAGTATTTTCAAAATTTTTGCAAACTAGATTTATCTTTTAATTGAGTTAGTGATTTAAAATTATAATATTTTATCGAGAGATACAATAACTTGCTGAATTCAATTAGTAACTCTTTTAACTTTACCTCTTAGAATTGCTTTATAGCTCTCTGATGGTCTTTTAAACTAATGTCTCAAACTCTGAAGTAAGCCTACGAATTAAAGGTAAGTAAAACCGATTGTACAATTTTGAAAACTGAATTTAACTACAGACTACACAGTAGCGATTTCTAGCAATCATTGTTTCACTACCCAAAGAGTTGTCAGTGAAAAAGGAAAGTTTTCACTAATTTTTCACTTATTTCGATCAAGGTCATTTCAATAATATTTGATGGAGAACCTTGAAGAAAGTTAATCTGTTTTGCTAAAAGTCAAAACATGTCAACTAGATACTGATTTTTCTGCTTTACGACTTCAGCCCTGGTTTCTAGTTTATTGCCACTTGAAGTCGTGTCATAGTTCATTCCGCTTTCTTTTTATTTTGTAAACTTTTGAAGACAAGCATTCTCGTAGCCAAAAGGTTGAGGTAGTTGCAGAGTTAGACATGAAGTATTGTCATGTCTGGAATATAATGTCAAAAAGTATACCTTTGAAAAGAAAAAACAACATAATAAAATATGGATGACAGCAAGAAAGATGCTATGATAGAAAGTTGTTGTTTTGTTTATTGTTTATTTGTTAAAATATATGTGTTTTATTCTGTGACAGAACAAGGGCACTGAAACGCTTTTTGCACAAGCAGACTATTTTCCTATAATTGAACAGCATTCTTCATTGTTTAAATGCGTTGATATAATAACAATATACCTTTGGAATAAACGTTACTTAAAATAATGTATTAACTTGTCAAAATTTAACGAAAAAGATTATTAATAAATAACAGTGGCAGCGGGGTAAAAATTATTTTACAGGAAGAATGTCTTTCCATCTAATGGTATTTTATATTATTTACTCTTATAAGGTACACAAAAATTTAAAGCACTTAAGGATCCACATACTCTTAAAATTAACCTGAAGAGATTTATTTTTAAAAAACCAATTTTTGTGCAAAATTCTTAAAATTTGATTTTTTCTAAATTTTATGGAACAACATTGTTTATTTATTTATACAGCTGTCCCGTATCGATATCACTTA